ACTTTTCCCAGTTTTAAATGACCACAGATGCCAACCCAGATTACTATACCCAGCCAAAATGTTTATTACAGTCAAAGGGGAAAGAAAAATCTTCCATGACATAAATAGGCTGAAGGAATTCATATCCATAAAATTAGCCTTTCAGAGTTATGGAAGCAATACAAAGAGCTGAAGAAAGGAATGACTATACCCAAGGGGTTGTGGAAAGAAATTCAATGAAGGTATAACTGTAGAAAAGTACAACTATATCAAGAATGTAAACAGAAATAAAAATGACAGGATTCAATACTCATCTTTCATTAATAACTTTAAATATTAACAGATTGAACTCCCCAGTCAAAAGACACAGACTAGGTGAATGGATTAAGAAACAAAACCCATCCTTTGTTGTCTGCAAGAAACTCATCTCACTTTCATGGACAGACACTATCTTAAAATGAAAAGATGAAAAAAAATATACCAAGCAAACGGCACTAAGAAAAAACGAGGCATAGCAATTCTAATATCTGACAAAATAGAATTTAAACTAAAACTAATCAGAGGACAAAGGGGGGCACTTCATTCTGATCAAAGGAAAAATAAACCAAGAAGCTGTTGCAATCATGAACATATATTCACCAAACTCTAGTGTACACAACTTCATAAAAACAGTGCTACAGGACTTTAAGACCCAGATTAATCCTAACTCATTAATAGTATGGGACTTCAATACCCCACTGTCTCCATTACATAGGTCAACTGGGCAGAGAGTTAACAGAGAGACATCTGAATTAAACAAAACCATATATCAAATGGACTTAACAGACATCTACTGAGTATTCCACCAAGGCACCAAAAGTCATACTTTCTACTCAACACCCCATGGAACCTTCTCCAAAATTGACCATATACTGGGTCAAGAAACAAACCTCAACAAATACAAAAAGATTGAAATAATTCCATGCATTCTATTAGACCACAAAGCAATAAAGCTTAAAATCAACAACGGAAGAAGTCCTAATCACCACATGAACACATGGAGATTAAACAAGACACTCCTGAATGACGAATGGGTCAAAAGAGAAATTAAGAAAGAAATAAAAATATTCCTGGAACTAAATAAAAAGGACTAATACAACACAACAAACCTCTGGGACATGCTGAAAGCTGTCCTTAGAGGGAACTTTATAGCTCTAAGTGCCTACATCAAAAAATTTGAAAGAATACAAATAAAAGACTTAACAATGCAACTCAAGACACTTGAAAAGAAATCAGAGATGAAAGGGGAAACATCACAACAGACACCCAAAAGATCCAGAACATTTTAAGGGAATATATATATACATATTTGTCTTTTTTAGACAGGGTCTCCTTGTAGCCCCAGCTTTCCTGAACTCACTATGTAGACCAGGCTGGCCTCCAACTTACAAAGATCTGCCTGCCTTTGCCTCCCCAGTGCTGGGATTAAAGGCGTGCGCCACCACGCCCGGCATTATAAAGGACTATTCTAAAAACCTATGCTCTACTAAATTTGAAAAATCTAAAAGCAATGGATGGATATCTAAAATCATGGGAACCACCAAAGTTAAACCAAGAAGATATCAACAGTTTAAACAAACCAGGAAGATATCAACAATTTAAACGGACCCATAACACAAAAAGAAATTGAAACAGTAATACAAAACCTCATGATTTAAAAAAAGCCCAGGACCAATGGATTTACAGCAGAATTCTACCAGACATTTAGAGAAGATCTGCATCCAATACTACTTAATTTATTCAAAAAAATAGAAATGGAGGGA